AATGCCGGGGGTTTAAGTGGAGAGAAAATGTTTTGAGAATGATGTACAAATGCACTTTACACAATTGATGTGTGTATGGATTGCGATAACAGTTGCATGAGTCCCTAATAAAATGTTTGAAAAAAATAGAATGATCACACAGAAAGTTAGGTTACATACTGCAAAAAATAATAATAAAATAAAATAATGAACTTCACCTAATTATATATCCGTCCATCTATCAATGTGTCTTCACAGTTTTTTTCTTTTCTCAGTGCTTTATAACTGTGGTTTTCATTCTTTATTTTGATTATAACTTGCTAGCTGGCTCATGTATGTTTTAATATGTTCCTATAGTTTAAAAAAACATTTTAATAAGTAGTTTTACAGGTTCAGATTGAACATGCAGCTCAACCAGGGAGACCACAATTTCACTAACTGTAATTCTGGTTCCTTGTAGCTGAGAATTATATTTATAAAACAACACATGCATTCTATTGGATGTCTATCCATATAAACATTTATCACGATGGTTACCAAATTTCTTATATGCATATTTAAAGAAAAACTCATATGATTTAGGACAACAGACAAATAGTAACAAGGGAAAACAAGTGCTTTAAATTTATAAAATGTTGTATAGCTTAAGAATAAATAAAATGTTCTATTTTACAACACTTCATATTATGACAAAAGTGATTTTGGAATATCAGACCCTTTAAATTTGATTGCACCTTTTAATATAAGATTTTCTTCCTCCTAAGAAAATCTTGGAAAATTTTCACCCATTATTTACATTTTTTTCAAAAGTTTCTTTGAAAACATAAGAAGCATGTTTTAAAGAGATGAACACCTGAAATACAACATCAAAAGTTATCATAACAGTGATGGATATTTTTCTAGTGTTCTAATATGCATACATTTCATACATATAATTAATTTAAAATGCATAGAAGTTGATTATTTCTGCTATCTAAAATCATATAATGTGCATTTTTCAATGTCATAATATTTCTCTGTAGTGTACTTCAAATGAACCCATAATATTACATTGTATATTTATATTTTAATATATTATCCAACACAATGTTATAGGAAATGTAGTGTTTCTCTGCTAAAAATAGACATATATTTTTATATCACTTATTCTTCTCTCATAGTGTATTTTTAGACATGGAAATGCTTGATCAAGCCTTTTATCTCTTTTCCTCTCTCCAGTGAGAAAGAGTTTTAACTCTGAACCCATGTGCTGACTCTGACCCTCTGCTCACTGCCTCATGTGGCTGACCGCTCCTATGGAGGCTGCCATCATGCCCACCCCCAGAAGTTCAGGGATCCATCCTCTCTAATGCTGGGAAAGCCACGTCCTGCCCTCCACCCTCATCTCAGCTTAGTTCTCGTGCCCAGAGAGAAAAAACAGACTCCCTGAAAACTAAACTATATCCAGACAACCATGTACTAAGTTACTATGCATCAGCTTGAAATGTTCCCTCAGCCTACCACAGATTCTGAGATTTCATAATTATGATACCATTTTATCATGTAGGGAGAAAGTACGTTCTTGAGAAAAGAACAAAAAATCCCCAATAAATACGAGTGAAATTTCCTAAGGAAATGGACAAAAGTGCAATTCCTGGACTTGATGTTTGTACTCATGGCAGTTGGCTCTGTTTAGCAATGAAATTATTCTGGGGCTTAGAGTGCATGCATTTGGAAACTATCCAGTTGTCTAAAGTCCTGCAGCATACATGAATTGAGTTGTACAATGCACACAAACTAGCCCAATACAGGCTGGCCTTATCCATTAGGCTCATTGTATAAGCCTGATGGGGTGAGTCACACAGCAGGGGAGTCATAATCCTTCAGATGGAGGGCTTTCTTGCCTGTCAACAACCTGTTATTTCTGTGAAGAAAATAATGATAGTCATCACTCAAACTTGTATGCACTGCCATAACGTTGATGCTAACTCACGTGGGGCAGGGTAGAACTGTTCCTTTAGATTTCTGAGACTTTAAATCTGTATAGGAGGAAACAGCATTTTCTTGCTACTTTGGGGGAGCTGGTGGGTTCAAACCACCGACCTTGTGGTTAGAAGCTCATTCTATAAACCACGATTCCACCAAGTCTCCTCTTGTACACTCACTGCCATGGAGTTAATTCTGATTCATAACGACCATTAAGACAGAGTAGAACAGCTCCTGTGGGTTCCTGAGATGGTTACTTTATGCGAGTAGAAAACCTGATCTTTCTATCATGGAGTAGCTGGTAATTTCAAACTGCTGACCTGTGGTTAGCACCCCAGCTTTACAGACTACACCATTAGTGCACCTTCCAATCTTGTGTAGATCCTCATAAATAGCTAACTGGCAGGCAGCTTATGAAAGTTGTCTTTTCTACTCTAGGAAAGAAGTTTCAGTCACATCCATATATAGAGACTTCTGCTCCTACTTGCCCAATGACATCAGAACTCCAAACAAAAACAAAAAACCTTGATAGAAGCAGATAGCTCATCTTTCTCATTCAGAGGAACCGGTGGGTTTGAACATCTGACCTTGTGTTTCTAGGTGGATATTATATTTTATATATCTCTGTGTTCTTTAGATGAAATAGGTGCTCAAGAAATGATCGCTAAATAGATGCATATCACTTCTAATTTTATTGATTAAGCACGGTCAAGCTACTGGAATTTTTTCTATTGATCAAGGCATGCTTTTGGCTTCCTGCTGACAAAGTTCACAAATAAAATCCGAGAAGAATTTGCACATTGCATTTTAAAAACTGTAGGGAAATTCAAGTCACTTCAAATATATTTTTTCTATAGGACACTACTGAATCAACTTGAAGATATGTTTTATATCTTGAAAATGGTAAAGAGCTCAATCAACAAAAGCTATTGGATTCTCAAAGATCTACAAGTAAAGAACAGGCTGATAAAACTACTCACCTCCAAATACAACTTATCTTTCCTGGAAAAAATGGAGAATTAATCAAAGGGAAGTCTAACAGTCTAATCATTCACTACTGGACTTCACAACCTATATCCATTCAATAGTATTAACTTCCAGCCTCACCTTTGGACAATCCGAATACAAACATTCCAGCCCCCATTCTTTCATCCTTTGTTTTAAAGTTTGATGTGACAATAAGGCCATACAATCTAAGGGAATAAACTTAACCGGAACCCCTTTCTACCAACTCTCACAAGGACCTCTTCTTCTGCAGTACTCTATAGAAGGCACTCTTGACCTGCGTGTTCCTCAGACTGTAGATGAAGGGGTTCAGTAATGGGTTGAAAAGACCATAAAACAAAGAAAGGGTTTTCTGCTGCTCTTCACGTTGAGTGCCACCTGGGACCAGGTAAAAGACCATACCTATGCCAAAGTAGAGCCCGACCACACAGAGGTGGGAGGAGCAAGTGGAGAAGGCCTTTCTGCAGCCCTCCCCAGACTGCATCTTCAGGATGACCCAGAGGATCCGTGTGTAGGAGACCAGCATCAAAGAGAGGGGTCCAACCATGACAAATGCACCTGAAGCAAGCATGCCTATTTCATTGATCCAGGTGTCAGCACAGGCCAGCTTGAGAACAGAGAGGATTTCACAGAAGATGTGGTTCACTACTTGGGGACCACAGAAGGGAAGCCTGAGAAGAAGAACCACCTGTAGTAAGGTCAGCAAGAACCCACCTGTCCAGGAGGCAATGGCCAGGAAAGCACACACTCTCCAGTTCATGATGACGGTGTACTGGAGTGGGTGGCAGATGGCCACATACCTGTCATAGGACATGGCCACCAAGATCAGGCAATCTGCAGCAGCACATGTCAAATACAGAAACATCTGGAAAATACATGGACCAAAGAAAATCGTTTTTTCTTGCTTCACTAGGTTCCCTAGCATCTTGGGGACATTGTTACAAGCAAAGGACATGTCAATGATGGCCAACTGTGAGAGGAAGAAGTACATGGGGGTGTGCAGTCTTTGGTCCAGCCAAATGAGGCCCAGGATCATCCCATTTGCCAGCAGACTGAGGACGTAGAACAGGGAGAAGATCCAGAAGAGGAGCAGGCCCATGTCTGCACTCAGCTGGAATCCCACCAAGATGAATTCTGTGACCCATGATTGGTTGTTCCTCATTTCTTAGGGATGACCTTCAAGGACAAAGGTGTGATTAAAACAAGAGCCCAGTTGAAGAATCAATGAAAATCAAAATTATTTACTACAAATTGAGCCAAAGGAAAGATTGTATGCCTGTGCTGATGTCACTGAGCTGTCCCTTATGGGATGTCAATTTTCTGAAAACTGTCAATTGTGTGCACAGCACTCCTATGAGCTCTTCAGCCAGGTTCCACAACTGTTCCTTTTTATATATGTACTTTATTTAAATTTTTTCCCTAGGACTTTATGTATTATTGTTTTCTAGAATTCTTGAGAGTTACCTACTGACATTATGACCATTTGTTCCTTGCTTTGTTATTTATTTACTGGAACAAGAATGAGGATTGTAACTAACCTGATCACATGACAATTGCCCAAATCAGGAAGCCTGGCCTTGTCATGGGTGTTTTTCCTAACCTGTCTGTCCTTTGGGTCTAACATGGAGTCCAAGGATATGTATTTTATTTAATCTGTGTTTATTTGAAATACACAACTCTTTTCTTTTACAGCAGAAAACTTTGAAGAGTATGGGTGAGATAGAGTGTAGAATGATCCTCAATTTCCAGTTTTAAATGGTTCTCCTTATTTTGATCCAAATGGGGATTTCTGAAATGAAGGTAATAACGTACATTTTTAAGGCCATCTGTTGGAAAATGGTGGATGCTGGATGGGCTGCGATCTGAAAAGTCGGTAGTTTGAAACCACTAGCTGCTTCTTGGGAGAATGAACGGGGCTTTTTACCCCCTTCAAGAGTCACAGTCTCTGAAACCCGCGTGGGGCAGTTCTACCCCGTCCTATCAGGTCTCTCAGAGTCGGCACCGACTCAACAGCAGTGAGTTGTTTGAGGCTGGAAGTGAGGATGGTGAGCCTTCATCTCACACACTTTGCAGAGGTTATCAGGAGAAGCCAGTCTCTGGAGAAGGACAGCACGCTTGGTACAGAACCGAGTGAACAAAACAAGAGGAAGGCCCTCAGGATACACCCACACAGTGGCCGTGAAAATGGCCTCGAATAACAACAATTGGGGGGATGGCCTTGGGTCGGCAAGTGGTTCATTCTGCTCTGTTCTGGGTCCATAGGACCCCGAACACCTTGACGTACCTAACAACAGCATCATAAACGGGGAGGTAAGCTCTGTTTGCCTCAATATTGAAGTTGTTAATTTGGCGAAAATGGTACCTTCTTTGTATCTTCAGGATAAACCTTTTTTCTTTTCTCTAGTATTATTTCTGGAGAAATTCATTTAAACTGCTATGACAGCATTCTGTTTCTGGATGAATGTTCAGTAACGAGGACACGCTCCACAGGTTATCTTGCCTGAGTGAATTGTTAGTCTCAGCGGTTGGACATGGGGTGTTTGGACTTCGTGATACCACTACGTTTCTTGTTGGCAGTTTGCTACAGGGGATCATTCCTATTCTCTATGCATCTATAGCATTGTGGGTTCAATGGTGGAATCCTTCTCTCCATATGAAGCACCAGGATCAGCACCTGCCACAGGCACAGCTACCACCTGCCTATCAGTGGGTCACAGTCTGGTGGCTTTTTGCTATGATGCCAGAAACCATATTACTAGTATTTCAAATATCATCATGCTGGATAGATTTTAAAACTTCCAGATTAGGGATAAAAATCTGGTGATCTACTTTTGAAAATCAGACAACAAAACTCAGTTAAGCACACCAGAGCATTGTCTGCTGGTTCCATGATGCTTGGAGTTGCAATGAATTTATTTCCATTCACCAACAACTAACAAAAGTGTCTCTGTACATCTGTCCAATCCATCTTTGTATCTATCTTTAAGCTTAAGCACCCAGCCACTCATCCATCCATCTATCTATGAATATGGATTCATGCCTTTGCTTTTTCTTTCAATAAAATGTAATATATTGTTCTCATTGCTTATGTGTCTTCCTTTTACATTGGTCAATAAAATAGTAACAGCTCAGGAAACAACTTTGCATTGTCCACATACACAAGATTTCACCCATGATTCCTGCACATGAGCTATTGAAGCTTTCTCATATTGATCCAACTCTCATGAAAAGAATGGTATTTGTTCTATCCTATATTGTGACAGAACAAATTTTTGACCAAATATAACAATTTCATTGTCTAATAGTTAACAAGGCTAACTGTTAGCCCAGGAGAGTATCAATAATAAAGAACTTGATAGAAAACTTACCTCTTGCACTGTTTCATCAAGGAGAAGATTTTGCTTCAACTACTGCTAACATTTTGTTTTCTATTGACAGAGGTTCTGTGGACAGCAGTATGCTTACTTAGGCTAGGTCATGCCTACAGTGATGTTATTCTTTAGGAGACTAATCTCGGGGTGATGCCTGGATGTGGAAAGGCTTGTCTCAATAGGTAGAGTTATGCTGGCTTCAACCACCAGCAGTCAACACATTTGGGGAGCGATGCTGAAGGGGTCAGAGAAGAGAGTTCTTGGAACTGTGGATGGAGATCTACATGTCTACTCTATCTGTCTGCAGGGCACACTCTGCATCAGGATGAATGAAATATCACTCACGATATCAGTGCTCCGACAAGGCATGGGGCCCTCCGTTCCCACACTGCCTTGATTCTATAGCCTGTACTGAACACGACTTCCCAATGCAACTGAATGCTTCTACATAAAAAGTAGGAGGTCATAACATCGCCTTTCTATCAAGTTTTTACTTTGCCCTAGAATAGCCCTACACACGTGACCTGCCTCTGTAAGATGCGCTTGATGTCCTAGGAGGGATTGTCCTAAATTAAGCAGTATTTACTCCCCCCGGTGATGGTATTGCAATAGAGAAAGAAGCTCTAATTAACCTTCTCGGATTATGGAGTTTACTTTAGGACCAGCTAAGTCTCTGAAGAGAACATATTTTCCCCAAAGGGTCATGAGACATTGAATCTATCTGCCTTCTCATTAAGGGAAACAGGAATCTCTGACGCTCCTCTCTGGAGGAAAGCAAAGATTGTGCCGATTGTCTTTGTAGGAAAAGCCTAGTTACAGACGAGGCAATACTTATACCACATTCTATCCACCGGAGTTTCTCAATATCCACTTTGTTAAAACGTGAGGGAGCTCATCAGTAGATGAATGGATAAACTAAGTGTGGCACATGAACACAATGAAATATTACTTATCAA